ATGTACTCGTTTTCAAACTAATGTTAAAAATCAGTCGAAAAATGCATCTTTTTCCGATATGTCACGGTTTGACGTCGCGAAAAATAACATTTTACGTTAGCAGTTCGTCATTACCTCCCTTAGCTGTAACTGTATGGCACAATTCGCTGAATACACACAAGCAAACAATAACAATGTAGTTACCTGAGGTTGAAACAGACAAGAATAAGATTTGTATCATGTAAGAATTATGATACAACAGGACGGCGAACACGAGAATTTTACAGAATAAGCATTTATTTTACTGAATAGAGAAACATGGCCTACAGAAATGAAGACTCCGCCATCAAGACCCTCATGGGTACATCAACCCTATCACAAAAGGATTAATATTTTATTTGCCCAATTGTTTTTATTATTTATTTCAATATAAATAAACTATTATATTTGATTTAAATTAAGGTTCATCTATACACTTTAACAAAAATGGCTGTGTTTACACCATGAAATTTTCTCTGAGTACAGACAAAACTGTGTAATGTTAAAAGTTTTAATGCCTGGCAGCAGCTAGATAAATTTATGTTACATCCAATTTATGTTCTAAAAAGTTAAAACACTTGATGGATTTTGATGAACATTTTCTTTCCTTACCACAGAAGATGGTGAAATAAACAAACACCTGAGTTTTCTTTGATACAGTCCACTCATTTACACTATTTAAATCACCTTTGTTGTGAGTAGATTTCTATTGTCCCTCTATTGTCCATATCAATTAATGATACAATACAATCATTACCTGAGGGGGACCATCTCAAAGATTTCACATGACTTTGTTTATTTTTACACCACCTGTGGCAAGGAAAGAAAATGTTTAGCAAAAGTTTTTTCTTTTTAAAACACAAAATGAATACAACTTGTATATATCTAGGTGCTGCCAGGATTTAAAACTATTAGAATTACACAGTTTTGTCTGCATTCAGAGAAAATTTCATGGTTTAAACACAGCCATTTTTGTTGAAGTGTATAGATGAACCTTAAATTTCATTAGCTAAAATTTTCTGCTGACAAACTTCACAATATATTTTGTGATCTTTTGTTTATTCTATCCGAGTTCATTATGAACAGTTATATAAATTTTTTGCAAAAAGTAAAACACTGACGGGTTAAAATGCAAAACATTACATGTACACATGGAAAATACAACACATGAAAAAGTTCTAAATAAATCAAGTCAATATCAATAATATACGTATAGATTCTTACAGAAAAAAGGAATTACCTCCCCTTTAAAAGCGGAACTACAATAAATAAAATCGTATCCATATTTTATTTCTAAAAGCAATATAAATCAATAATAAACTATTATATTCTATTTAAAGTTATATTACATGATAAATTTCTTATAAACAAATCATATTATATCAAATTATGAAAATCTATAATTTACACTTTACCACGTGTGATAGACTGACTTTAAACCTTCTTAAACTCTACCGTCATCGTCATACTTCATCAAAAATCAACCTATCCCTCATTCTGCGTCTATTGATGTAATATTAACATGCAATAGCCTATTGAGAGGATTAGATCATAACCTGAGACAATGAAGCAGGTATTCTTCTTCAGTAGAATTATCTGTGCCGACATCTCAGGGACAAACACCTACGGTTAAATTATAAATACATGTTCTAAAACTTCTTAAAATTGCAATAATTAAGATGTAGTCATAAAAAATCCACGCAAAAAAACTTGTAGAAGAATGTATCCTAAGTTATTTGATACTTGCCTTCTATAACAATCAAAATCCAATTATTTTGGAAAAAAGTAAAATAACATAAATACAGAACTCCAAGGGAAATTCAAAACGGAAATTCCTTTATAAAATGGCAAAATCAAAAGCTCAAACACATCAAACGAATGGAAAACAACTGTCACATTCCTGACTTGGCACTTCCCTATGTAGAAAATGGTGGATTAAACCTGGTTTTATAGCTAGCTAAACCTCTCATGTTGGAAAGGCAAACTTTGAAATTTTCTTTTATTGTCACAAGGGAGCTTTCTTTCACCAATCCCAACAACAGTGTGAAGTATGATCCAAGTCATGCTTAAATGGGACTTGTGAAAAATTGCATTAAACCTTTTTTTATCATTTATTTGTTTTCAGTAGTCATGATTTTACAATACCACTTCAATCACCACCTGATTATTGTTTTTGAGGTAAACACTGAATAATACGTACAAGACTATCCAATTTAAAAAAAAATCATATATATTATACAAGAATACAGTTACTGAAAAAAAGGCTAATAGTTCACACTCACACTTACACTCACTACTAACACACAGTCACTGCAATCTTACCCTTTGTATGCATAGAACTGATAATGGAAACGGAAAATGTGTCAGACAACAAAATATGTCTTTCCAAAAAGGATTTTTTAAGCAATTAGAATTTTTTTTTAATCTTATCCTTTTGTAATGTAAAGACTCTGTCAGCACATAATTGTTTTAGTTCTGCAAGTAATAAATTCTGCCGAATACCGTCTGAATTTGATAGAAATCTCTTTACCCAAGATATCTAAAGATATGTACAGAAAGACTGCAAATGCACCATATTTAATCCTCCCTTTGAAAAATCTGCAATAAGAGTAATAGGCTTGACTCTATCAATATTTCCATTTCAAATGAAATTTTAAAAACGTAGTATTTAGTTCATTTAATTGTATCTGTGGTAAATTCGGCAGAGCAGTCAGCAGATGAATCAGTGTTGGCAATGCCAGAGTCTTTATCACAGTGATTTTACCTAGTAATGTTAATTTTCTATGTTGCCAGCATTTAAGTATAGCTGAAACCTCTTTGATCTTTTTCTAAATGAAAATCGAGAATACAATATAGATCAAATCTATTCCTAAAAGTCTAAAGTTTGTATGTGACCACATAAGATTGTAATTAGGACATAATATGTGATAGGAATATATTTTGTTACCAATCCAGACAGCTCTTGTCTTTGATTTGTTCATGTATAATCCAGATAACACGTAACAAGCGCTCATGTTGTGGTATTCAAGATAATGCTTTAAATCGTGCAATAATCTAGTATTCTCTTGTATCTGTCAGTAGAAAATAAACACCAAATATCCTCTAGATTTATTTGAAATAAACAAAAAAGCTGACATATTAAATAACTTAATAACTAAAAAATATCTATATGTAGTGCATATTTTGAATTGATTTATGACTTTTTTACAGAATGAAACTAAAAATAATAAAACTTCATAGTTAATAAACACCAAACCTTACATTTGACATCTATGGATAAAAATAAAACAAAGTTAATTGGTGTTATTCATCGTTCTGTATATGTTACAGACATTCTCTAAATCTAGGCATTTTGTAAAATGCCTTACCTTGACAGGCAATATATAAAAGTGACTAAAAATACCTAGTCATTTTTAAACAAATTACAACAAATTGCCTGCTCAGTTTCAGGTAATTTGTAGTAAAAGGATAAATTATCATTGAGATACATATGACCAAAAACACAATATCTTGTAAAGAAAAAAAAACCTAATGGTTCGGTAAAAATAAGTTTATTTTAAAATGCCAACAGGGAAAGTTTGTATGTCTGTTATTAGTGAAACTACGTAAAGTATATAGTACTCACTCTGTATTTCAGATAGGAATTTTGAGATTTTCTAGTCCTGATGGCAGAAACACAACTTGTCTTTACAATAGAACACAATTTTAGGTAATCTATATTCAAAGTATGTAATATGAAGCAGAGGAAAAAAGGATGTTTCATTGTTCGTAAGTTTGTTTGCGTTCAGAAGCAAATAGATCTATGTTATGCATATTTAGAACGAAAAATAAATTCATATTAAATCAATTAGGTGAGTTATGAAATGAATTGACTCGGATAAAGGGCCGGAATTTCGACTGCGGCTTGTAATAAAGGTATGTTGGATAAGGACATATGTTGCCCTTCCAACAGGCCACCTCGGGAACGGGCAAAGAGTTCTTAAAATGTGTGGAGCATGACACTCTAGCATTTACACGAGGCATCAGATTTAATACCCCCTTTCAGAAAGAATGCGATTTTATACATCCTGCATAGCCAAACGGATTCCCCTGAATAGCATGGATTCCTTCTCCTCTGCTTCATATTACACACTTTGAATATAGATTACCAAATCTGGAATATGGCAGTTGTTTTTCAATTGTTCCTTTGATTGATACCGTTTGATTTTGTCATTTTTTGTGGGCATCCCCTTTTTGAATCTGCCTTGGAGTTTTTGTTATACTTTTTCACTACACAAGTTCATCTTGGGTTGTGATTCAAGAAATGAGACCTTCATCTTCACTGCCTCAAGGGAATTCTTGAGTCTTGAAATCTGATGTATTTAGGTGACAGCAAATTTATAACCGATGTTTAAACATCGTATATTTGTACTGAACTATCTCAGTTGCTGCAAAAACATCGGGTTGTGTACAATAATTTGAGCTTTACCAGCTTTATATAGTCCTGTTTGTTTTCGTCTGCATGACTGATTTTCTGTAAGTCTGGTATTTTTTATCTAAATTTTCAATTACTCATTTGTTATCGTTTTACTTCTTGATTCACATTTTGTTATTAAACGTGTGGTCTTTTTATAATAAACTATTTTTCATGTCGGGGCCTTTTATAGCCGACCATACGGTATTGGTTTTTCTCATTGTTGAAGGCTGTACGGTTGCCTATAATTGCTTACATTCACTTTATTTAAACTTTGGTTGATAGTTGTCTCATTTGCAATCATATACCACATCTCCTTATTTTTATAAATATTCGGTATGAGTTTTGCTCTTTATTAACCTTTAACTTTATTTTTATTTGATGACAGTCTTTATGATTCGAAGAACAACCAAGCGAGTAAACAGGTGTAAATAATGATTCTGCAATGACTTGTTGATGTTTTAAATCATCTCAAATTGACGTGCACTGAAAATGCAGTGAGTGAAACAAAAAAATAATGAAGCACATATGTAAGAACTATCTTTATACATGGTAAAATGACATTTTATCTATATATTGTTTATACTATTGCATTAAAGGTTATCTATCTTTTTTGCTGACTAATAATGTGTTCAAAGGAAATTACTTTTATCTTTACACAAATGGTGTTGATAATTCATACATGTCTTTGAATATATTTTTTTAAATGTACATGTGATTTTAAACGAATTCTTCCAGCCAAACCACTACTCTGTCTTGTTGATTTATTTTCCCCTCTAAACTTGTCTTTCCTGAGGTATAGGCTTATTTTGTCATATATACTTGTTCGAATGCATTCTCTCCCTCTCTCTCTTCTCCAGATTAATGCTTTTGTCCTTAAAAACGTATATACTGATTGATGAACCTCTATTATACATATATATATGTAAGATGTATGACCAAAGTGTCTTTTATTTCGTTCATTGATGTATCATTACTCATTTCTACACTATTAGTGTTGGCTTAAACTCATCGCTTGCTTGTTTGACGGTATACTCTCTCTCCTGGTTAATTGATGAGTTGCTGTGATAAACCTGTATCTACTATGTGAGTGATAGATTAATCTTGTCTCATTTTTCAGTACTGGACATCAGACGTTCATAGATCAACTGCTGCATTTTTTGCTGTGAAACTATAAAACAGAAAGATAAAATATGATCATCCTTTGGAAAATCAAAGTACAGCATTTACAGTTATTCAATTCGATATTCGATATGTAGAGGACGAATCATGAAAATAAAACTATATAAACGCATAAATGTAAAACATTTCACTTTCTAGATTCCATTAATTTATAGATCGTGTAATGGTTTTAAATCTTTATTCATTAAAAGCTCATATTGTACACATTACAGTTAAAGAAGGCTTGATTTCTCTATTAGCAGATTACTTTATTCACAGATTGCTTTCAGTTTCTGTGAACCTAAGCATTCTGTGGTACAGCATTTTTATTATGAATAAGTATTTTAAAGATTAAGGCGACTTTCCTGAATGGATCTTTTATTGTACATTCTTTTATAATATGCCTTTTGTTAGAGATTAAAAGTTTAAAATATTGGATTGACACTTTTATCTTGTTAAAGACAGTACGTTGCAAGGCCTATACAGATGTCTTAAATTCTAATATTTTTGTGCTATTATGTTGCCTTCTCATTGACTTCTACCCCAAATCTTCTTCGATATAATGATTTACATTATTTAAATGATGCAATGATTACGTAAATTCGTCATTATGATTTATTATGGTAATTATCTTATTTCTAATACTTACTGTTATATCATCATCTAAAGCTGTCAATCAAGGATGGTATTATAATACATGATCCAACAATTGCTACTACGGCTACTAAAGTCTTCTTCTTACGGGAAGACATCTTAGATAAACACTCTGCTTGTTCTTTCGCTGTCTTTCTTATATTATTGATCCTTCGCTGCAGTGTATTATGCTTAGATTCCATTGTAATTATTTTCATAATCGTCTTATGTATATAGGTATTAACAGTATGTATGTCGCAGTAAAACGGAATGTCCGCCTAAAATATTTTCCGATTCGGAATGATATTCATTCAGGTGTTTACAAAATATTCATATACATGGTTGGAGGGGTTTCAATTACTACAGGTAATACACAGTATTCAGGTGACACATATAATAGATATGTTATTATGGGGTACGGAAAGGTAAATACATTTTTTGTACTGAAGTTTAGTAACTATAGATATTGAGGTTATAGGGGTAAAAATAGCTCTTTGTACTTACGATTAGCATCATCAATGAATTGGCTCAAACAAATCTTTGAAATACATTTTGAAAACCGTTTGCAATTATATTTATGCTAATGTGCTTTCATAATAAAAAGAAATCAATGTGTATTCTATTCTGCAAAATAGCAGAACTATCTTACTGATATTAAACATTTCTCAGGTTTAATATCATACACGCATCTTGCGTAACAAAATTCGGCATCAGGATTTTTTTCTGAATCTTTGCAATGATAAAAATGGATACAGACTTAATTATTCTGAAAAGTCCTTCTTATGAAATTGACAAATAATTCGATTTTACAAAAGAGTAACTTGACATTTTCACATTTTTCAATAATGAAGAAATGCACAAAACAATATTATTCACTTCAGTGGGATAAAAAGAATAAGAAGGAAAAATAAGTGCAAATGTATTCGATTCTTGTTTTATAATACATAAAAATGCAAGTGTTTAAGCCTGATATCTTTGCCTTTGTTATATTAGTATAGTTCAGTTCAGTTCTCTTTTAACTGTTCTGTAGAAGGATGTTGCAAAAATAATGCTTCCCATTAAAAATGCATGCTCACAATATCGCCCATTACATGAATTGAAGATAAATTTACGATTATACTTTAAACATTGGATTTCTCATAAAGATGAACACAAAGATATCAATCTACGCTTCCTTTTCGTCCTTTGACGTGTACTGGATCACTGAAACGATAATAGCATTTTACGTATACTTGAAATAGAAAAAAGAATGTATTAGAAAGGACATCAACATGAAGTCACACGCCGCACAACAATCCCTCCACCAGCAACAGATAGCGAAGAAACACAATTAATAAAATAAGCTGAATACATTATATTTATATTACAAAATTCTCTTTTTCATACAACAATCTTGTAACCAAACCAAATAATCTTAGTCATTCAGATATTACCGAAACAAGAGATCTATTCAATATCTTGATCTTTTCCTCGATATTGATATAGATGGGAGACTTCAAACTATAATTTACAACAAACGTAATGATTTCAACTTTCCAATTGTCAACTTCGTATTTCTCAGCAGTAACATGCAATCTGTCCCATCGCACGGTGTTTACATATCTCAATTAATACGTTTCGCGCGTCCATGCTCACACTAAACAGACTTAATTAGCAATGGTGTGCCCCTTACAAAAAACTGACCCAGCAGAGTTATGACGAAGAACGACTGAAATAGACACTACATAAGTTTTCTGATCGTCATTACGAATTGGTTGACCGATACGATAAATCTATATGAAAATAAGGAGATGTGGTATGATTGCCAATGAAACAGCTATCCACCAAAGTTTAAACGAAGTGGATGTAAGCAATTATAGGCAACATGCATGTCTCAAATGAAAAGCAACATGTTTTCGCAGTCTTAGATCATTAGATACCAGAATAGTTGTATAATCTGTAATTTAACCGATTGTGTGCTTTTCCCAAATGTGATATTTTGACTGCGTGGGGATTTGCATTGTGTGTGATGCATGCATAGCAGAAGATCCTTAACCTGTGCAGGAACCCAGTCTCGCTCATATTCAGAAGTTCAGGCGATTCCCCAGATTGTGCTTGTTACCTTGATTTTTTGTCTTCTTAATTGATTTAGTAGATTTGATCGGTAAACTACTGTTGCCTTAATTAATTGCAACGAAAACAAATTAAAATTGCCCTAAAAAAATAGATTGAAATGTATTTTGCAACGCACGTGATTACTTAAATGTAGTTTTGCATGGTGCTACGCACGTAATTACTTAAATCTAGTGCTAGACATATCTATTTAAATTTACCTGTGATAATAAAAACGTCACAAAAAATACGTCACGTTTTGTGAAGTTGATCCATTCATGTGACGCGCAGTTTATATTTCGTTTGTGGTGTCCTGGTATGCTGTCGTAAATTCATGGGAGATGTCCGTTGTTATTCTGCAGTTTACATGTACTGTTATATTATTTATTTATGTATTTCTCTGTGTTGAGTGTTCTTGGGTTTCTTTGTACTGTATTCCTGTCACGTAGTGTTGTCATTTTAGCGGTATTTTTAACATTGCCATATAAGCGGTTTGGCTAGCCATAAAACCAGGTTCCATCCACCATTTTTTCTTAAAATGTCCTGTACGAAGTCAGATATATGGCAGTTGTTATCAGACAGTCCGTTTCTATGTATGTTGGCGTTTGCTTTTGTTGTAGTTTAGTGTTTCTGCTGTTCCGATGTTTTCCTCTTATAGTTGATGTGTTTCCTCGGTTTTAGTTTGTTACCCGGATTTGTTTTTGCTTAATCGAATTATGACTATTGAACAGCGGTATACTACTTTTGCCTATAATTGTATACACATTTCTTTTGTCGCCCATAATAATGCTATAGAGAATTCTCTTTTTTAGATACTATTCATGCTATATATAATATACATCCATTGTTAAACGTAGACATATGCTGTAAGCAAGTGCCTTAAAGAACCACTTTTCAGTCTTCTCATGTTTGTTAATATAATTTAGAAACATCGGAGTTATCTTTCTTCTCACATACGAGTCGGATATAAAATGTTTTGTATTCAAATTTCGTTTGGATGTTTTTCTAATAAAGTGATTTATCTAGTGCTATCGGGTTTAAAAGTCAAATACATACATCATGCATCAAAACCTAACAATCCAATTTGAACAGACTTATCTACTCGGTTTATAAACTGAAACTGTGAAACAAAAGGGTTCGATTGATTGATTGATTCAGGAATTAAATTATGGTTATATTGAAAACATTTTCTGTAGGTTTACTGTTTATAAAATGGCGAATTATCCGGAAAAAAAAAATTGTTTCTACCCTCAGACATATTTGCCTTAACCGTATTTGGCAAAACGTTTCGGAATCTTTGGTTTGCAATGTTCTTCGAATCTAATTTGAACTTCCAACTGTGTTTATTCGAGCGCCAGTGATGAATCGTATGTAGACAAAACGCGCATCGTACGAATTGAATTATAAACCTGGTATCTTTGATGGGTTTTTATAACCACAAGGCCAATGCCAATGCTGTTCGTCCCCGAGGGTTTCACCAGTTCAATAGTCTGCAATTCTGTGTTGACATGAAATATCATTGATACGTCCGTATTCCGTTGAATTATTATATAGTAAGGTTTTCTACCTCCTAGACATGGATAGAATAAATCAGCAATATCAACAAGTTTTGAATTTACAACTACAACCGGGACGTGCTCACGTATTTGCCGGTAACAATTGCCGATACAGCGATGAGACAAGGAAAGCAGAGCTGTGAGGAATGTAGAAATAAAACATATTTTTATATAATCTAGCTCCTATATTACCAGTCCTGCTGAATTGCTTTGCTGATATGGATAACATCAATGCAACTATCAATCTAATAAACATCATGTGACATTTATTTATAATTTTCTCATGAAAATTAAAAAAGGAAACTAAACCAAGGTGGCAATAAAACAGAAATATCTAAGAAAAAGGTAAAATCATGACAAAAAGGAAATACATCAAAAAAATTGCAACAATTTGAACAACAAGGGCCACACCAGTTACCTGAGTGGAACACACGGTTTCGAAATGACCAGTAGATCATGTTCCAGTAGTGATAAACACCGTGTTACTCCTATAAATTTCATTTAATGAGCAATAAACGGTTATTATGCATAAATGTGTGACAGATAAATACAGATAAAACTATGAGACACGAAGAGACACAAACTTAGAAAAAGGGGGAAATACAACAAACATTTAAAAATAAAAATCAGACTTCAGCTAAGTCGCAAAAAAGCGACAAGGAATTAAACATTGATATACATGCAGATGTAAAGTAATTTGTTTTATAACCTCAGTATCATTACCTCTTATCATATTGTATTTTATTTGGAAAATACAACCTTAAGTTTCACAAGCATCACAATCTTTATACAAAATAAAACCACATATTGTCAAAATCAAAACGACAAAATCCTATAAGAACTAATCAAATAGTCACTTAATATTTCCCTCTTTTGCAATTTGATGTCTGCAAGGAATATTTATAACTTGTAAAAACAAGATGCAGTTCTCTCCGTTGCTTTCATTTATTTTAGTTTAGTTTATTAGTAAACGACTTCTCGTGTTTGACATCTGTCCCTTCAAAATCAGGATTTTCAATAAGAGCATTCCATTCTAGAACCAGCGTCAATTCCATACATATATGTCTGTTATATACTGAAGTAAAATTGAATGTTCTCAGATTATCTCTCTTTGAGATATAAAGATATATATATATATCTATATTTAGATTCAATGTGACAACAATAAATGCACCCTGGTTATATACTGATCGGCATTGAAAACTCGTGTTTAGCATCATGTGACAAACACAAAGTGTGTTTTTATTTCGTATATGAATTCGCATTGTTATAAGGTGAGTATTAGATATTCGTTTCATGGTAAATATACTTCATGATCACAGAAAGGATACAAAGCGTTCCATAAATAAACTCATCATAAATACCAAGATTGAAATTATGTACGCCAGACGCGCGTTTCGTCTACAAAAGTCTCATCAGTGACGCTCGAATCAAAAAGGTTAAAAAGGCCAAATAGAGTACTAAGTTGAGAAGCATTGAGGACCCAAAATTCTCAAAATTTTACCAAATACAGCTGAGGTAATCTATTCCTGGGGTTATTATTATTCCATTATACTTTATCCCTATTGTTAAATTCTTCTTTGTCAAAATGTTTGACAAAATTAAGACACATGAATCAAGACTAACTTTTACAAATAACATGGTACTGGTCATTCACGTAAATTCTCCGCTGATTAAAATAATTAAGATGACAAAAATTCGACATTTTATATTCAGTTTTAATCACAGCAATAAAAGACATATTGATTTGGAGTAAATATGATAGAATGGTGAATATATACAATACTATGTCTTGCACTTTCTTATCTCTTAAATTAATTCGGAACTTATATAAACAGATAAACAAGATGAGATGAATTAACATTAACCACAGTATTTTTAAAATGAATATTGTTTGTGACATATAGTACAAAGGCTTCAATATAAGAGACTCTTCCTGAACACGCATCACATATTTGACACTGGACTTTAAGCAACCAACAATAAATCAATCAATGTAGGAGAAATACTATATCCCTAAAAAGCAAAATATTTTAATGTTTCTTACCTTATTACCTCTGGTATAAATTGTTTTCACTTATGTTTTGCTGAAAATATATTTGCACGTAATTCATAATTTACAAGAATAAAAAGACATTTGAAAATACACAAAATGGTATCGAATGAATTTAATGTTGTTTGGTTGAAATTAAGTACCCACTGCAATCAATGCACAGATGGATATACAATTTTCAATAATCAGAACTTCAAAGTATTGAAAATTTTATGGTCAAATCCATCTTTCTCAAATCTATCACAAAATTGCATGTGATCATAAGATTTGAAATCGTTTCCATTTTTTTTTAATTATTGTATCCCTATACCATAATGCTCTGAAATATTTTTGTATTTGTATACATATATGTTATTCGAAGGCAGTTAAGACATAAATACACATCGTTAAAAGATACCATTTCATTATTTTGATAACCAATCCGCGTACGAGTTTGTACATAAATTTTGAAACATTTCTGCAGTCCCTAACGAAGAAACGAGACTCATCAATAAAACCACGAGGATCACTGACCAATACTATATTCTAGTTGATATTTGACAAGATAATGAATGTTCAATGGTATTTCTTAACGCGGTGTCATGTTGTTTCTTAATTACAATTACCTTTGGACCAATCTCTGTATCTTGGATACTAGTTAATATTTTATGAATAAGCAATGAGAAAATTATGAGTATTACAACACTTGCTGCAATTATTATCCAACATGATTTTTTTCTCAATAATTCTTTGGAAACGTCTACAGAAATGATATTGCGATGATTTTTTCAACACTTGTAGATTCAATATTTAATGCAACATCAGTGTGAAATTTCACTACATCAATTTGGTCTTCGTTTTCAGGATTTTTTGCCGATTTTGACCATAATATCAAATCGTCATCACTTTCAACTATAGGATCCTTTAGAATAGGTTCACTGTCATCAACAGAAAAACTGGTTGACAATCGTCGCCTCATTTTTATAATTCGAAATGTGTTATCATTTTTCAACGTTTACAGGTATACATCCATAGTGTTATTTATCTATTACATTGTAGTCATCAGCAGTATACTAATCTGACAAAAGTTTGAACATTGATACATGTATTTAACAAATAAAATTACCTGATAAATAATATCACCAAACATATATACTTATTTCAGCGTGGATGACACGTGTTTCCAACAACAATTGAAAACAAGCACTTGAGACCATAAGTTTACTAAGCCAAAATAAATAGATCAAATGTTTATCAACATCACAACCAAATGACATAGGCATTAAAGCAAACAATGTCCAAGGCTATTTTGGTCTTTTTTCTTTTTTTGCCATGGTATTTCAATTTTTTTTCGACTTATGAGTTTGAACGTCCCTTTGGTATATTTTGCCTCTCCTTTACAAGTTTTATTAAATGAAAATTACACTATAATGAATATTAATAAAGGAACAAGTGGGCAAGAAGAGGAGCACAATTGGAATGCCAATTGTTTATTGAAATAATGTCTTTTTAACGTAACAAAACGGTTGTCAATAAAAAGATCTTCTCATGAAGACCTAAAAGAAGCTAGCTTTATCATTTTAAGGTATCACTGAAATCATGCCATTACCCTGATACTGACCACTGGAAGGATGGAACGCACTTAAATGACATCCCAACAATTCCAAATGTTTGACACCGATTTTAATTCACATGAAACGTCTTACTGGAATAATCATCATTAGGTATGATGAAAACAAAGTCAAATACACGGGACGTTTGTGAGCATTACAAGTAACAGAAGTAGATGGGACAACTGGCCCTGAAACGTAATATACCGTTTTTTTCTAGTTTGAAATGTTTCATATGTCGGACCTTTTAAGGCTGACTATACGATGGATTTTTCTAAATGTTGAAGGCCGTACGGTGTCTATAATTGCTTGCTAGCACTTGATTTTAATTCTCGTGGATAGATGTCTCATTGACAATCATACCACAGCTCCTCATTGGATATTAGTTGTATTTGTTGTACTATAGTATCCTTAATATCAAGTTCGATGGGATAGAAACGCTCAACATAAGTTTGAATTATTTAGTGAGAGGACATCATTTAAATTGCGAAACGTGAAGTTAAGGGTAATGCTAGCTTCTTTTCCTTTGCTGTATGAAGTCTGCCTCATGTATATACAGGAACAAGTAAAAAAGAAGAGGATCATTGTTGATTCCCATAGAAATGCCAATTGTTGTTGAAAAACACGTTCTGCAAAGACTCATAACACTCACCAATGGCGCTCAAATTTAAGCAGTTTGAAGTTAAAACGCATCGAAATCCTAAACATTCGAAGATTTATGTCAAATATGGATGAAACCTTTTCTGACTTGAGCATTAGAAGCTGTGTGTTTCTAACTATTCAACATTTTTTAGACACTAAATTTACAGAAGAGGATTTTTCATGTCAACAAAGTAGTACTGACTACTGGTCTGGTGATACAGAAGGGACGAAACGTCCACCAGTAATGGCATTGACATAGATGTGGTAAAAGCTTACCAAAGATACCAGGGTTATACTTTTGTACGTCAGACGTGCATTTCGTCTATATAAGACTCGAATCAAAACACTTGGAAGTCTAAATAAAAGTTAGCTTTTTTGTGTGCTAATCTGACGGTTGAAGACTTTTCCAACTGATTTTATTTGTTTGTTCTTATGTTGATCTGAGATTTCACTGTCAGACGGTTGGTTTTTGTCTTTTGAATTATTTCACGTTTTGTCTGTAGATATTTGCTTAATATTGCAAACAGTATGATGACCTATAGATGTTTATACCCTTATCTGTAGGGATTTTGGGGATAGTTGGAAATTTTACCAGATCTTTGAATTTTTATATTTGTTAAGAATTGATAACAATTTACGTTATTATACTTCACGTAAAAATGCAATATTTTGATTGGCTTATACGAGGGTGTTAATTTACTCTATTCTATGGTAAATACTCTATTACCCTTCACGGAGACGCTTGATTAAGTGTGCGTTTTATTAAATACGGATGGTTGTTATGAACAAGACGTCATAGTTTATTACTTTGAATTTGAAATTTAATCGACAGTAATAACAGAACATTCAGTATAATAAATTAAATAACACATATCTGAGAGGGTGATAGAGCAGATTGTTACCCCTCGAAAAGACATTGTCAACCTTGGCTTCGCCTCAGTTGACAATGTTTTCTCGGGGTAACAATCTGCTCTATCACCCTCTCAGCTATGTGTTATTTAAATATTGGTAAGATTCTTAGTTTCATAACTGAATTATGAAGTTTGTCAAAAACTTAGAACAAAATTCATACCGTCATTACAAACAATGTTGCCAGACCAAATATTGGAAATTTTCCACAAAGCCTTCATTAACTGAGATTTACGATGATTGTTTAGAAATGTGGAAACAAACTGATTGAAATGTTTCTAATGCAGACTCTAAAATAAATACTAGTAATACTTAAATTACAAACATGTATATTATGCATTCTTTCTAAAGTATAAATTACTGAACACCATCCCATATATTTTGCAAGGTTTTAAACTATCTAACTTGTTAAATTCTAAACTTGTCTTCACGATGCGTCCCTGTTTGATGTTTTTTAGTTATTTTAGGTTTAATTTCTCTTAATATGTATTCTTTCTAAAACCTTATACAATAAATAACCGACAAAATTATTCTTAATGTGCTTATTCTGCATAAAATCAAAATACGGATTCTTATATTGTCTTTGCCCGCTTCTGTTGGTAAATTCATATTTTTGTAATGCTGTACGAAAAGCAAAATGAGTGAAATTGATTTGAGAATGAAAACAGATACCAGTACAATTAAATTGTCTGTATCATATGCCGACATTCGTGATTACAGGATGTTACATTTCATATGCTGAATCAAGCCCTGCACAATTAAATTGATAGTTTTACAGAACGTTCGATTTCTTAAGGGAGATAAAACTGTTTGAAAATATCCATCGTATAACTTTAAAGGGATCATCGGCGAAGTTTCAAAGAACGGTATAGGATTATCAGTGGATAAATTTGCTTTGTGCGTAGAAGTGTTAAAATCGAATTGATGAATGTCAAATAGGAGGATTGAACCCAAAATGCAACGTGTTAGGCAATACATATATTTTGACATGTTCTAATGAAATAACGAAGAACGTCTTCACATAATGAAATATTCATCTAAACAACATAATATCACATTCTCTTATTGATTGTGGCATGTTATCTATTTCAACATTGAAATTGAAATTAAATATTTAAGACATCAACAAAATATATTCAAAGTCACATTTTTTAAATGTATCTGAAAGTCACACAAAAATCTTATAGTCACAAAAATTATTTTGATAATCGGTCGGAGGTAAAACTGGTAGGATAATAGACGTTATCGTTACATTTTTGTTAAATCTAATTATGCAACGCAGAATGTTAAATATCGGAATTTATAAAATAGATAACCACCATATTCAATAAGTACTGGCTCGTCTTGATGAAGCAGCACAAAAAGGAATAAGGATAAAAGTCTAAAGAATTGAGCTACAATACTGATCAAGTATAAAGAAAACAATGAACTAGATATAATGAACTCGTATTAATAAATAATTCGGTACAGCAAATGCCTTCATCTGTTTCTCACAAAATTATGGCCTTTTGCTGTGCTGAAATATTTGTGTCAAGATTTCATTTCATCTAATTAGGTCTTTCCACTTTTCTGTGGAAAGACCTATTGTATTTGTTCTGATTATTAGGTCTTTCCACTTTTCTGTGGGAAGACCTTTTGTATTTGTTCTGATTATTAGGTCTTTCCACTTTCTGTGGAAAAACCTATTGTATTTGTTCTGATTATTATTTTTTTCTTCCGCTAAATTTTGTTATCGCGTAAAATTTTTGTTTCGCAATATGTCGCTAATATTTTTCTTATATAGTATCATACAGTTTATACGCTTTTTATTTTCACCCATTCTAAGCCTAACAATTTTCTTTGTAAGAGTTATCTCCCTATTCACTGTTTATCAAGTGTGTGCATCTCCTTCGTAACAAAAAAAGATATCGACAAAATTCTTTTTCTAAATTGTTCGTTACATCCTCAGAAATTTTTGGCTAATTTGGATCGAAGCGATTCGATGAAATTTTAAAGGAGTTATCTACCTTTACCAAATAAATTTGTCGGTATGTTTTTTTAACTCATTAACCGTTAACCGTATAACCCTGGAATCTTTTTATTTGAGGTCCCTAGGTCCTAACTTAGAAAATGAGGTCAAAGTCAAAGGTCACGGTCAAGTTCTCAATTTTGACTTTTCCTTGTTTTTGCATTTTCTCAACCACTTTTAAAAATATATATGAAACAACAAGTGCAAAATGTTTGCTTTATTGTAATGGAGATATGTTACATTTGGTCTGAAACAATCTAATGGCATCTTATAGGAGTAAGTGCCCCTGAAATGTCCAATTATAAGGTTAATTGATTATTACTTCAACTTGGTTCATTATAAAGCCATATGACCTTTTACAAAAGGTTGGATGACATATGACCTTGAAGAATGACAACCGAAAGTGACCTTGAGAAAACCGGAAGTAGCCATTTATGCACTTTCTTCATGGAAAAGTACTCGGAGTCCATATATTTTGTAATTTTAATACATTAACTTATCACTGAAGACTAGAAATGACTCTCGATAAACCGGAAGTGGCCAATTATCTCCTGGTTTACAAGCAAAAGTATATAGAAACTATATATTTTTGGAATCAGTGTGAAAGAAACTATTATATGAGACCAGAAGTGACATTTACTTCACCGGAGGTAGCTAATTATCTCCCTTATTTCACTCAGAAGTATATAGAAACCACTTAATTATCGCATCAGTATGAAGAAACTGATGATAAGATGCCAATTTTAACTTTGAGTAAACACGAACTAGCTTCTTTTCAATAAATTTAAAAATTGCTGTGAAAAGACCTTCAATTGTTCTCTGAACAATTGGTTTTTAATTAATATCTATTTATCTTTTATCAGTATCGATGCAAAAATTTTGTATAAATATTTGTTTAAAATGCATATCTGTTGTATTGGGCAAACTGGGAAAATCATGAGGTCAACGTAATTTTGTTTCTAGACCAAAAAAGCAGGAGGCAAAATTAGCAAATAACTGTATCCTATACTTGCCAGGAAATCCTATACCTGCCAGGAAATAGTCAAGATAAGATACATATAAGTAAAATAGTAATTTAGTATACTGTATTTGAAGTAGCCATGTTTGAAATTAAGTATACATTCTAACCAACAATGAAACTGCATAACATAAGAAATCGGTTTTAGAGTGCCAAAGACCAACCCAAGATGAGCAAAACCATATAGCTGACTATACTGTACACAGTCAAATACAAGAAAAAATTGAAATTTCAGTAAAAATATATTGTATTTACATATTTTTTGTACAATATTCAAACAGTAAAAACATTAAAAAAACAAGTTGAAAACATCATAAATGTGGTATTGAAATATTGAAAATGTGTAATCTATTGTGCACCTGTAGGAAGAATTTTTAATTACAAATGAAATAAAAACAGCAATACACCTGAAATACTTGTATAAAATTTGTTCATTGTATTTATGTTATAACTAATTATAACTTAGGCCCTGTCAGAAAGAACATACAAGAAAGTAATACATATTTTAAACAAAATGGTCCTACGCATAGCTGTAAAAATGAAAACAACACGTTATAAACTTTGTCAATAAGTTTAATATCAGGGTAATTTAGGTATCAAATGAAGATCACTGTAGAACGATGTTGAAAGTTTCTTTTGAATAATAAAAAAAAAATATATGAAATTATAAAAGGAGGGCACATTTGGCCTGATGTTCGGATCAGAAGTACCTGTTTTTGTACTACCAAACTTCCGAGAACCAGTGCGCTCTAATATGCAATTAGAGGGTATTGAATTTTTCAGCTCAAGTCAGGATAAGGTATATTTTTGACATGAAATGACTACCACTTTATTTAAACTTTAAACACAGTTGCCATTAATGCTTGAAATTGTAGAACTTAACATAGAAAGCAATGGGGCTAATAATTAGTGGTTTTATTCCATAAACATAACCAATAAACCACAAAATGATCACATTAATTTATGAAAAAAATCGAATCACATGATATCTGGAAATGCCATTGAAAATTACCAGTAAAACAAATCTTGAAGTTTAAAAGGAGATACACTAACAAAGTATTGAATGTATATATATGGGATATCTACAGCGTTAATGGAATAACTTCTCCCAAAAAATTTGTCGATAATGACAGGATCATCTTCCCCTCATAACTGAACTCCTACTGAAATATGACAAGTATTGTTTATTCATTATCATTCTTTTAGTGTTCCAGTACTAATGTTATTGGGATTTCGAGAGTATAGGTGATCTATGAATGTCATGTTAAATGAAATCCAAAATTTCAATAAGCTTATATGTACAATTAAAAAAAAAAAGCAAGTAACAATGAAAACACAATTTTCCCAAATCCACTCAAAGTCACTTCTACGTCATGTTGTCAATAGATAAGTCCTGATTGACAGATAAAAAACAGACAGATAAATAAATTCTCTCTCACATCTCTAAAAGAGCTCTGAATAAACAATAGGGATTTACATAAACAATTTCAGAAACAACATTTGATGTAATCTTTTTAAGTCAGTTCTTCACACTGAGAAGAAAGATATTATTTCGAAAATCTTGACCTAGAAACTTTTGCTGCATTTCATGTATTGTTTCCCTTTCTTTAAGCTTCTTCTTTTTCCTGTCCTGCATCATTTTCATCTTTTGATTTATTAGCATCTTTTATTAAGGGATACAGGAACATCAAACATCCTCCAATAATCATTAATGAAGAATTAATATAATTTAAAAGGGAAAATGACCCTGAAGCTTCTTTGATGGCCCCTGAAAATAGATAAATAAATAAGTTACACTGAAATAAAATAACTAAATTAGTGCATAAAAGAAGGATGTATATTTTTTTGTCCAGTATGTTATCTTTCAAACACTTTCAGCATAGGGACATATCTATGTGATATGAATATGATACATGCTATGTTCTTAACACACTACGCATAATTCATAAAAACCTGGTTACAGTGGTGAGGCAAACATTTTTCTCTAAATCTTCACCAAATTAGCAATTGGCATTTATTTTTCTCTTTTTTTAAAATCTTAAACAATTATTATTGATATTCACTTGTTACTAAAACCCTGAATTGTCTATGGAAGCAACTTAGGGGGCCCAGCATTATTACAGAATCTGATTTGTCGAGGAAAATGCAAACGAGAAAAAGGTAAACTCTCATTATAAATAATCTTATTCTATCTATATATTAATACATCACGATTAATTGTTTAGGTTCCATATATCTTTAATTTATTTTTATTCCACTGGAGGCAACATTTGCATGAAATAAAGTATGACCTTTCAACTTATTCTATTTATATATAAATGCATCACAATTAATTGTTTAGGTTCCATATGTCTTTAATTTTTTTTGTATTCCACTGGAGGCAATGTTTGCATAAAATAAACCATGACCTTTAAACTTGAATTTACAATTGCTAACTATATTTTCTTCTAATATGTCCTCTTGCGTGATGGATTATTGAATTTTCTGCAAGTCGGTTCTGGAAGTTAAAAGAGTTTTATAATGTTTAGACATTTTTATTTGCCCACTATTTTTGGGGTCCAAACAAGAACATAGGAAACGAAATCTATATCATATTTTTCGTCTAGTGAAGTTAACCATTATTTACCTACTGCATTCCACTTTTATGTTTCTGAATATATAAAATTGTACATACTTTACTTTTAACCTGTTTTAATTTTATGAAGTCCCTTAGGTTTATCATTCTTATCCCCCCATTTTTCCTTTCGGTAAACAGCCCACCTTCCTTGTGATTTGGTTAGTTTTGACGTCTCATATAAAAAACAAGGTATGACTTTACCTTCAACAGGTTGTCCAATGGCTGCACCAAGTCCTTGTATAAGTAGAATTACTCCTATAGCTTTGGGCATAATCTCTAATCCGACCATATCAATCAATACAATTGAGTTCAGGGCAATGTAGGCACCACCAAAAAATCCATACAGTGTTGTATGAATAGCACACCACCAAAATACAGTAGCAAAGTTGAATATCAATATATTTATACCACAAAATATACAGGTGGCACTTAGTATTTTATATCGTTCTATTATTCTAAGATCTCCTACAATACCCACAACAATTCTTCCAATGAGATCACCTATACCAGCACAAGAAACAAGCCATGCAATTTCATAGCTTGCAAATCCTTTACTAGCAGCATCTATTGGCATTAGTATGATAAAATTGAAATACCCAAAGAAAACAAGAAATGAGAAAATTGTATAAAACACAACCTTCGGCATTTTCATGACTGAAAAATGAAATATTTTTGGAATAAGTATAGGTTTTCCACAGATTTTGATTTCGATACTACTAGATAGTTTTTTTTTTAAGTCTCCTGCTAGTACAACACGTGCCAAACTTTCCATTGAACCATTGCTTGTAACAAATGAGACAGATTTCTCTTGATTCACTTCTGAATCAATTTTGATTTCTAAAGTGTCACATGTTCTGCTAATAACTTGATTTGTTGTGTCCTGAACAACATTTGTTCTTTTTCTTATAGAATCGTTCAGATCTTCTTTTAGCAGTTTATGCTTTTCATCGTTTTCTCCTGCTTTTCTTTCACTTGAGTAAAATTTCAGTGGACGATAGAGGGCCCCACTAACAGCTACAAATAAATATAAACCCCCCAAGATAAGGTACGTCCCTGGGAGTCCATATGCATATGTCTGCAATAAGAACTCTATAAGTGGAGGAATAGCAAATGTTTCAACACTAGCTCCTGACAAAGCAATACCATTAGCAACTGTACGAATTCTTTTGAAATAGCTGCCAATCATCACTACACCATTTCCATCTAAACAGGAATTCCCAATTCCTAAAACAGATGAAATAATTCAAATTACACTTAAAAGAAAGGCGAAAGATACCAAAGGGACATGCAAACTCGTAAGTCGAAAATAAAACTGACAACGCCATGGCAAAAAAAGAACAAGATCAAAAGACAAACAACTGTACACAAAACACAACACAAAAAACTGAAGACTGAGCTACACGAACCTCACCAAAAACCGGGGGGGATCTAAGGCTCTCCGGAATGGTAAGCAGATCCTGCTCCACATATGGCACCCATCGTGTTGCTCGTGTATGTACAAATCTGGTAATAAGTCTAATTCGGTATGTCACCTTCGGGGGGAAAGAGGGCGTGATTGTGGTTACGAAAATTGGCACATATCCGTCGTCATCTATGAAACAGATATTCCATAACGGTGAACCAACTCGTGATGGCGTCCGTAAATCTTACGAAGGAATGATTTCAATTGCACCACTTGCAACCCTTGGTTTGATAGCTTCCTTGTGAGCAGTAATCTTCTGTCAAGGAAATCATGATAGGAAATGCAAGCCCTGGAATATCGTATCAACTAGGAGATATATTCTCCATATGCAGGCGCTACTGGAATGTTGCTACATAGAAATGGAAAGTTCACAATTGGAAAACTGAAATCATCTCTTTTGTCGTCGTAAAGTTTTGTTTTCAACCGACCCTCATTGTCAATTTCGAGACGTAAGTCAAAATATAAGACAGACTGAACTGTTTCTGCTTTATCCTTTAGTTCTCTCAAGTTCGATGGGATAGATGTGTTCAACATAGTCACCAAACTTTGAATTATTTAGTGACAGGACATCATCTATATAGCGGAAAGTGAAGTTAAAGGATAATGCTAACTTCTTTCCTTTCTTCCTAAGAAGCTCCTGTATGAAGCCCAGCTTCATATGAATAAATGAAAAAGTCGGCAAGAAGAGGGGCACGGTTAGTGATCATTGGAATGCCGATTGTTTGTAGAAAAACACATCCTCCAAACGTAACAGATATATTGTCAATCAAGAAATCAAGCATCTTGATAATGTCAGTTTCAAAGAATGTTTTGTTTAAGTCAGAGTTTAACTCTTGAATGAATAAAATTGAGAATGGAAATGGGGAATGTGTCAAAGAGACAACAACCCGACCATAGAGCAGACAACAGCCGAAGGCCACCAATGGGTCTTCAATGCAGCGTGAAACTCCCGCACCCGAAGGCATCCTTCAGCTGGCCCCTAAAGTATGGTTACTAGTTAGTAGGCTGATTTAAGTACATGCAAATCATGCATTATTGTTCAATTGGGTGAAACCATCATAAAGCATTTAAAGATCCCGTTCCCTGACAAACAACAGAGAACGTCCTATCACTTTCTTGTCCATATTTTAGGCAACACACTGGTATAAATAAAGTCATCATAGATACCAGGATTAAAAATTGGTTACCAAATGCCCGTTTCATTTACGAACGACCCACCAGTGACGCTCGAATCAAAAGAATTAAAAGGCCACTTAGAACGAAGTTGAAGAGCTTTGAGGACCCAAAATACCAAATGGTTTTGCCAAATACAGCTAAGGTAATCCATTCCTGGGGTAGGAAATCCTTAGTAGTTCGGAATTTGGTAAGCAATTAATTTATAATTATGACCATATTAGTAAAATTCATGTCATCACATAAGTGATGACTTCTGGCCTGTTTAAAATCATTACTTATGATATTTTTGAACTCATCCGTGTTGGGCTGCTGATTAAAGATGATGTCATTTTCTTAAGTAGTATTTAAGAAATTTTGTTACGAACATTTTTAAGGTCAATACACATTGAAAATTCAAAAGAATAGGAAAACAAGAAGGTGTCTGAAAGATCTGAAAAGTGCTTGCACGTTACAATTTACCAATAGAGAAAATTAAGTTTGTTCATGCTGTTATATGAATAGTTTAAGAACATGAGTATGATTTTGTTTTAGTATGTCATGCTTTTAGAGTTTTGACGCTATTGTTTCTACTATTGTATGTCTGTGCTTGCTATGACTTTATTATGTCCATGATGTTATTCTCTGTATTCTGTCATTATTGTTACTATAAATATGTTATTTTGCTGTAGCATGATGTTTGCTTCTGCAATTTAAGATGCATTCATCCATGCATCAACTGCCAAGCATGTAATAACTTCAGTGTTATTGGCTTTATTGTAGATTTTGTGTCATCTGCTGTTTACAGTTTCTGTTAATATAGTGTATATTATGAGCAACTTGAAAACGTTTATGGATGAAAGAAGCTTTGTAACAGCAAAAGATCATACTAGCCCAAGACTGAGTTGAAACCAAATAATTGTAATTTTCTTGTATTAAATTTGTTTTAAAATTAAGATTTAATTTTACCTGCTCCTATACCATACATCCAAATCAAATACCAAATGCCGATCTTGAAATAACATAAGGAGATGAAGACACATGCAAAGACAGCTCTAAACATAACAACAGATCTCTCTGTAAAATGTTGACCAAGAGCAACACAGACTGGTGCTGAAAAAATGTTGAAAATTGAATTTTTAATTTAACATTGTAATTTTATGTTACATGATTTCTCTCCATAGAGATAAACATGACCATTATTCATTATATTTCTTTTACTTTTCGATTTCACTAATGCCTATCTAATTGGTTCGTTGATTAAGTTGGGGTTTTATGTATTACAGATACAATGATTTAATAGTATTTGTTTTGTGAAGTCAAAATGATAACCAGTTAATGAACTAATATTGTTTGGTAACATGTCGACATCAGATTATGTAAACACTTAATTGTACTTTTATCATTATTAACTTATATCCATTTTTCTAATCAGGTGGCAGATAAACAAACCTTTTTTCAAGTTCCTGTCTTAAATGGCTAATTCTTGGTCAGAAAGAAGACAAGTTGAAATGTAACCTATTGCTCACTAATGATACCCCTGCTAGAAGCATTACGAAAAGGGAAGTTGATGAGTAACGGATTTAAAATGCATCACATTTTATAGCATGCTCACATGAATGTTGATTTCAAATTTTAATTTGTACGGGTAGTAGTTCCAGTAAATGCAACACAAATTTAATACATGGCCATTATATGTATAAAGAATATATTAGTTTTTGGTAAAAGGAAATGGATGAGCAATGAATCTGACAATGCATCACACAGCATAGCATGCTCACATAAAGAATAATACCAAGTCCCAGAAAGCTCTGATTTGTAGCTTCTGAGAAAACCAAAACTTTATATTGCAATTATGTGTAAGAATATTTAAGAATTCGGTTAACATGAAGTGATTGTGTGATTAATCTGAAAATGTATCACGCAATCTAGAATGTTTACATTAAGTTCGATACCAAATTTAAGGGAACTCCGATTTGTAGTTCCTGAGAAATTAATTAATACGCCAATCAATGACCAATTGTAATAAGCAATTAAACGTTTGATTTATGTACAGAAATATTCAGTGATTCAAAACATACACGGCTGATCATTTTCACTGTTTAATGTTTCTGCCTTTCTATTAAAATTTTGTAACATAAATAATATACAAAATGCTTAACTTTGTATAAAAATTCTCATTTAGGGACAATAACTGCCATAAGATGTCATTTAAACATATCAATTGAAAAGGATAGAGGTACCAGTACATCATGGACATTATGAGCAATTTTGCCCATGTCAGATATTTTCTAGCTTTTTCAGTTGTCAAGAATTAGACAATTACTTTCATTTTAACTGTTTATTTAATTTTAGCAATGACAACCAGTTGTAACTTTTGTTGGACTATATATAAATCTGTACATGACACAGAAACAAATTCTTAAATAATTTCAAGATTATCTTTTCTTTTACCAACAACAATCATCCAGGCCCATCCTCTATCGTGCGGAATACCTCGTTGTTCTACCATACTCGTTGCTTATTTAGGAAGGGTACTTATCACATGAAAAATTAAAAGCATGTTTTAGTATAATAATAATGATAACAATTTCCCTTTCTGAACAGTTAAGATTTCACTAGTCAAATTGTCTTGAGTGATTTCCTGCCAAATCGGTTCAGAACTCATTGGTCTTTATTAAAAATATTTAGAGACTAAGGTTCTACCATTTAACCCTATTAACTAGAAGCATTATTCTCAATTGTATTTTCTGCAACTACGCGTTTTTAATTTTAAAATTTATCATCTTAAGTGTATTTTGTGTATAAATATCCAAATCAATAGAAACTGCTGTTGAAAAAATATTTAACAATCTAAGGTAGAGGTAATATTATTTATTTTATGATTTTCTTTATAAAACTGAAGTCACTTACATTCAGCATCCCAAGGAAATACCTGATCTCAAACAACAAAAACATTTTTTTTTTGTAATTCGGTCAATAAAACTTGACAACAACAGGCAATGGAGTAAACACTTGTAGAAACAAACCAACAACATTAATTTTTAATCACAATAAGAGAAAGAAAAAACCGATATTGATTAAGGAAAGTTTAATACACTTTTTTTCTCAAAAATTTCATATTGATCCCATGCAACGGGAACGGCTAGATGAACGAATAATTTGCTTATTTCACAAGACGAAATTCTTCAGTGATTTAAGAAACTGAATCATTATATCAAGCTTGACCTCCATTTTTCATTAGTTACAACATATCAAAAACCAGAAAAGCATTTGTTAAATAGTTCATAAGTTAATGCACAGAAATATGATTTACAGTGCCATTTTTCAATCTTTTAAGAACCATTACTCCTGAAGAGTAAAAGTGAAAATCGTCAATATCGAACTTGACCTCCAATTTGTCATCAGTAACAACGTATTACAATTTTAGCAGCATTGGTTAAACCATTCATATGATTAGATATTGTACGGAAACGACATAACTGAATGATATTTTGAATCTATCAAGGACCATCACTCCTGAAACGTAGAAATGAAAATTGTCAATAATGAACTTGACCTCCTTTTTCATCAGTAACAACATATGAAAATTTGGAAAGCAGTGTTTGGACAGTTCATGAATCATTGGACAGAAACAGTATGAAGCCGCCTGCCCGCCCTTCACTATTTGAATAAAGGACAAAGTTCCATTGCCCCCCTCGTTGCACATTTTTTATCTTTTCAAATCCAAATACAACAACAAAAGTTTGCATTTTTTTGTTCTTAAAAGACTTTTTATAAATATCTTAAATAAATGTAGGCTTGAAAACCCTTACAATGAAGTTTTACATTTAATTTATGTTTTAAAGGGCATAACTCTTTTTAAAAATAGTTGATCGACACTGTCCTTCGAACTTTTCCGAGACATTCCTGATACATGTATAAACCTTGGATATACGTTTGATGAAAATCTGGCAAGAATTGTACACGTCAGAGCGCATTCAAGACTAGAAGGACGAACGAACCGAAGCCCGGTATTTCTAAGTATCCAGCAACGCGTCGCGCGGGGGACAATTACAGGACAAAAAGTCGTCTGACCATGCTGACTAATTTGTAGATCTAGTCTTGCTGATCATTTTTGCCATATAATGTATCTTTATCTATTTTAGTATTCAAGATAATAGACAAAGATTTTAAAAATGGTAAAATTCGTCATTTAAGAACAATGACTCCTGGAAGAAGTCGTCTAATGGTTTTGATCTAAACTGATAGTAGGTAGATAAACATTTTGAACATGTTATCCTCTGTCAGGTTTTCAAGATAATAGATATTACTTAATCCCTATGTTTCGTGCTTAGCCATGTCACTGATGCTAGTTAGCAGGCGGTATCATCGGACACAATTTTTAAGCTATATATCCCAAAGACGATTACGGGCAAGTTTGGTTTCCTATAAAGAACTGTCTAAGCTTTGGTACAAATGAAATACATGTATATCAATTTTGACATTCCTAAAATATTCCTTTACGTATAGGATTTTCTGCGTCTATTATGGTTTTTCTATCTACCATAGATTTTGCCAAAAATGGATAAAAAAAATTCTTCATTTAAAGACAATACCTTCTTAATGAGTTATCCAATGGTTTGGTCACATGGACAGATTTTGTAGATCTTGTAAAGCTAAAGATTTTCGTAATGAACAGTTTCTATCTATCTATCATGGTTTAAGAGATGATTTGCTAAATTATAAAAATTAGTCTAAAATTGTCATTTAAAGTCAATTACTAGTAATCCTTTTAAGGATTTATACAAAGGTTTCAGTTATAATGGCATTTTTAAGATATTGTTTTAGTGATATTTTTATTAAGTTTACAGATTCTACCTATCCAATTCTATTATAGTTATCTAAATAATTGACAAAAACACAAACAAATACTAAAAAACTGTCATTTAAGGGCAAAACTCGACAAGGGGTCATCCAGTTGTTTTGGTCATATGACATTTTTGAAAATATTGTATAGCTAATCATTTTTGCCAGTTTCAGTTTCTACCCTGTTTAAAGTTTTTGAGATAAAAGGCAAAAACATGAAAATGAACAAAAATCTTCACTTAAAGATAACGCATCTTTTGGTTTTTGGTCAACATTGTATTTATGCAGATCTTGTATTGCTGATCATTTTTGCCATTAACAGTGTTAACCTATCTATTATGTTGTTTTTTTATTTTATGTTTTATGTTGATAATTGGAAAAAAGCACGAAAATTTGTCTAAACGTAATTTAATGACAACAACTCCTTAAAAAGTCAATATAATTGCCAATGAGACAATTTTCCACATGAAACCAAACGACGAGAAATTATACAACAGAATTTACTGTTTACTATGGTAATCCTCAAAATCATTCGAAAAAAAAAATAAAAAAAGATTTGCACAATGATTTTGTCTTAAACAGAATCTGTAACAGTTTTGTTGAAATTAAAACACGTTGGGGGGTAAAGAAGAAGATGCATATACAAATTCCTATCCCTTTCGTAGATATAGCAATAAAAATCCGGAGTTTTGCTTGTAGAATCACGAATGATATATGGATAAAAATAAAGTAAGTCCTTAATGGCGTCAAATAAGGTAGACTCGGCAAAAGTAACATTCAGGATATTTAGTGGTTTAGAAGGAGCTGTAGATCTAAATGTCTACCTATCTTTTTGCAATTGAAACCCCATAAACAACTTTATAAGAATTAAATCAATATGCAATGCACAATGCCTACTTATTAAAGATTCTCTGTTAGTTTCATTGGTACCAAGTCGATTCATAGGGGAAATATACGTAACGAGTAAACAGTACATGTATAATACTAGTAACGAAAAGGTGATACAGTGTCACGTCAAACTTATTTCAATCTTCATTAGTTCAATTACAAGACAGACACAATGAGAAACGGTAGCTCTAAAATGCAATCGAAATCCAGCAAACGGTTTAGAATGATGATTCCCTTTATAAAATATAAAATATACCTACCATTGTTCCTTCCGGATTACGACAACACTGAGATCCATTTATTATGTCTTTGAAGGATGAAATTTATACATGCATATGAATTTAAATATATAACAGACAACAATTTAAATTTAAACAGTCTATTATTTGAAATAATATCCTTTACAAAAGAATAACTGTATATTTTAAAATATCATATACTTAGAGTAAATAACTTATAACTTTTACAGTATGATAATAGCATTACATTTACGTTAATTCCACATTTTTCGAAATGGTGCTTAGCGGGCTGATATGAAAAGTTTATCAACTGCTTCCGGTTACAAGTAATAGCTTTTCTAAAAAGCTAGCCGTATCATAGCTGATGAAATTTGAAAATGTTTTTCCATGCAGAATATCATTGTATAGTGAAATACAAAAAATAAACGGCAAATACTAATTTTGAGATTTTCCAAATTCCTTTTTTGTGAGGAATCACATGCACTTGTCTTTGATTTTTTCAATATATACCTTAATATAACATTAAGGTATATATGACATTTTTTTCAGAGACAAATGCCTGTGGGGGAATGTATGGAACACCTAAAAAAAGGGGTATACTTACTCAATCATCTGAGTTTGTATCTGTTCGAAAAAAAAAGATATGTTATTCATTTACTTCTTCCAAGATCAGTTGATTATTTATTTGTGTTAGAAAAGTATGGCCACTTCCGACTGTATCTGTTGCATTCATAGGAGGTCTCAAAAAGTGTTTAGAGCGTGAAACGTATTAAAATTTAAAAATTAAAGAACACAATTTTTTTTTCAAAAGATTTCTCACACCATTTTAAAATGATCCCTTATAAAACTTATATTGAACAATCTTTTATCTGCCTTTTGTCATTCAAAACTTATTAAAACGAGAAGTGTTGAGATCTAGAAAAACTTAGCTTAAGCATTGACCTAATAAAGTTAATGCACTGGTCCCTGGTCACGATAGTCCCAATAAATTAATTCATCAACGTTTTAAGGCTATAGGAGTAAGTTGGACAAGGTCAATTTATTACTAGTATATCGAGCTTAAAATTAAAATTTTGATTGATGGCTTTGATAACAATGAAAATGAAACATTTTAAATACAATAATTATAGATTAGATATCATTGTTTGACGACACAGTTAGCATCAATTTCAATTTTCCGGCAAACACAACGAAAGAAGGCCGCGAATTCAATACGTTTTCAGAGCAGGAAACAGCGCTAGCGCACACATCGACAAAAAAATCTTGCAACATTATGCTTATTATACATGTTATGATAAATAAAATATCTGACTAAAATCGTTAGATTGTCAAATACAGCGCTTTATACCATTCAAGCATATATTTCGTTGAAATCCATAAGACTTGAAAAATTTCATCAAAGTCTGTTTTTGGTGCCTTTTTCGGGTATACATTCCAACGTAACTTTCGAAGCGTTCGACCAAATTCCTTCTATTTCACTTTGTCGCATGATGGACTTGATCGATATTGGGGGGGAAACAGGCCTTTATCGTACTTACCCTTCAATGCCAAACATGCTGAATTAACATATTCTTTTGTAGGAGAATTAATAGATTCTTTTGTGGGAGAATTAACAGATTCTTTTATGGGAGAATTAACATATTCTTTACTGGGAGAATTAACATATTCTTTTGTGGGAGAATTAACATATTCTTTTGTGGGAGAGCGTTTATATGTTGACATGTAGATGTCTTTCTGTTTTATTATCATTAGTGTTTGTATGTGTATACATGATTTTAAATTCCTCTAGAAAACATCCTTTTTCAAATAATCCAATGCCAACAGTATTTTCGTCTTTTAGCATGTTTAGTATAAATAGTCAATAAATCTCAAAAACAAGTATAAGACGTTTCTGTCTCTTTTTATAACATTTATTCACAATTTTCTATATCTAGCTAGACTTTGGAGGGTTAAAAGCTAAAAAATATTGTAATGACATAATATGTCCATTGTAGAAGACTTTATAACTTGTAAGAGGCATGCGCTGTTTAAATAAATTTAGAAGTAATGAGTTTTGTGTTGTCTGTCTTAACTATTTATGCATACTTCACATCTCCTTTAAATCATACTTAGAAATTAAAATATATTAACATGCACAAATAATTGCATTTATAATCTGAGAGTCGTTTTTTCTTCTTATTATTATCCCCTCGTCTAATGTTCTTCACATTCTTCTATCTTGCCACGGTAAGAATAGCTAGGCATTGTCTAGCCCACCGAAACCATCCTCAAAATTATTACCGTATTAATCAATATTAATCGAAATTAATTGATTTGGTTATATCCGTTTTTCAATTAAATTGTTACCTTCGGATTATCTTACTAAGTATCAATATATATAACCGAGTAAAAACAAAAAAAAAATGTGCGGTGTGTCCCTAGGTTTTCATATACGTGTCAACTATAATGACTCTAAACGTTCATAACAACGAGCGACTGGATAAAATGTGGAATTATCACGTGTGCGATTTTATAAATTACAAAATTGCTGGAGTTTTGGCTATTTATAGAATAATGTTACTGTGTACCGATATGCATGATTGATCACGATGCAGTTTTAATTGCTAAAATAAAGAGTGTCCATCGTTCAACTTATAAGACCGTCTCCGAGGAGACGGTAATCATTGCATGCCTTTCCGTAATGTTATCGCATGGCATTTCGACGTCACTCGGCAAATTCCGGAAAATACATCTCAATGGTAGGTTATCCATGAAAAACATAACAAATTTGGATTAAAAAAACAAATATAAGGAAACAGGAAAATGTATTATGAAAAATGCAAAAAAAAATAATAATGAAGGCTCCATGCACCTATGAATTCATATCCGATTTTTGAACTTCTACTTGAGAACCACTTAAAAGGATCAATATATTAAACTGTTATTTTTCTCCATTGTTGAAGCATATGATAAAAAGATCATAACATGTCATTTTTCATATCAGATGTATTATCAGCCCTCGAGCCTTTGGCTCTTGGGCTGATATTGAACCTTGGGCTGATAATACATCTGATATGAAAAATGCCATGTAATAATCTGATATTATCTAAGTCAGACATCAGTTAAATAAGCAAATAAATCAATACAACTCAATGTGTTTATTTAAACAGACTACATCATATACCACGTATAGTGTGTATAGCGTACTTCAGTAGGAAGCGCACTTCATATAATGATAACAAGCAACATCATGTATAATTTCTAAATTTCCAAAGAAAATTTTTAGGAATATACTAGTCAACAAAAGTAACGATACACAAGTTTGAACTCCAATTTATCATAAAATATAATAAATAGGAAAAACTGTTAAATTATCCAATGAAAAACATTCAAAGCAAATGCATATGATTTAAAGAATCTGACCAATTTGGAAAGTGAGAAAAAACCGTGTTATTGAACACAGGGTTCAAATTTATTTTGCGGAAAATGATGACAAAAGTCGGCACTTTATTTCGAAGATGAGAATTAAGTATTCAAATACCTACAAAGGCATTAAAAATTTTAAGCAGACCATGTTTAAGTTAAAAGTTTTAAGTTCTAATATCGATTTATGAATTTTTGGGTGAAAATACGATTTTTGAAATAACACAAATTGCAAAAAAATTCGTGTATTTGTCTTAAATTAATGGTTTTGATAAGAAAATAACACTCTGTAAATATTAGACCAATTCGGCAAAATATTTAGCTTGGTACCGTGTATCCAATTTCATTATATATATAAAATACATTGCCTTGTATCGTTTCTTTTGTTGACTAGACATAAGAAGATGTGGTATGAGTTCCAATGAGACAACTGTTCATCCAAGTCACAATTTGTAAAAGTAAACCATTATAGGTCAAAGTACGGCCTTCAACACGGAGCCTTGACTCACACCGAACAGCAAGCTATAAAGGGCCCCAAAAATGACAAGTGTAAAACCATTCAAACAGGAAAACCAACGGTCTAATCTATATAAAAAACGAGAAACGAGAAACACTTATGAACCACATCAACAAACGACAACCACTGAACATCAGTTTCCTGACTTAGGACATGTGCAAACAAATGCAGCGGGTTTAAACGTTTTAATAGGCGCCAGTATACATTTTAATAATATGGTCATAATTATAGATTAACTGTTTTCCTACCCCAAGTAAATGATAACCGTACATGTATTTGCGAATATCTACAGGCATTTTGGTTGCTCAATGCTCTTCACCTCCTTTTGTAGACAAAACGCGCGTCTAGCGTACAAAATGCTAATCCTGGTATCTTTTATGAGTTTATATACATTGTAACCAACACTCCCTATGTACTATGCCTTTCTGTTGTTGACATTATCTATGTATATTATACTGACGGACTATAAAAAAAGATTTGCACAATGATTTTGTCTTAAACAGAATCTGTAACAGTTTCGTTGAAATCAAATCAAGCAGGGATAAAGACAAATTCCTACCCCTTTCGTTGATATAGCAATAAAAAATCCGGAGTTTTGCTTGTAGAATCACGAATGGTATTTGGATAAAAATAAAGTAAGTCCTTAATGGAATCAAATAAGATAGACTCAGCAAAATTAACATTCAGGACATTAAGTGATTTGAAGGAGCTCTAGATCTAAATGTCTACCTATCTTTTTTTCGATTGAAACCCCATAAACAACTTTAATAGAATTAGATAAATATTCAATGCACAATGCCATTAGTTATTAAAGATTCTCTGTAAGTTTCATTGATACCAAGTCGATTGTTAGGGGAAATATACGTAACGAGTAAACAGTATGTGTATAATAACGAAAAGGCGATACAGTATCACGTCAAACTTATTTCAATCTTCATTACAGCAATTTCAAGATAGACACAATGAGAAACGATAGCTCTAAAATGTAATCGAAATCCAGCAAACGATTTAGAATGATGTTTCCCTTCATAGGACAGTTCTGTCTCTGTTCCCTTTCTAAGAAAAATACATCCCGAATTGTTTTACTACATATAATGGACAAGGAAAATAAGGAATTGTAAATAAAATATACCTACCATTGTACCTTCCTGATAACGACAACACTGACATCCATGTATTGTGCATTTGAAGGCTGAAATCAATACATGCATGTGAATTTACATATATAACAGACAACAATTTAAATTTAAACAGTATTCAATTTGAAATAATATTCTTTACAAAACAAGAACTGTATATTTTAATTTATCTAAGCCAGGCATCAGTTGAATAAGGAAATAAATCAATACAACTCAATGCGTTTATTTAAACAGACCACAGCATATATCACGTATAGTGTGTATAGCGTACTTCAGTAGAAAGCGCACTTCATATAATAATAACAAGCAACATTATGTATAATTTCTAAATTTCCAAAGAAAACTTTTAGGAATACATTTTAATAATATGGTCATAATTATAGATTAACTGTTGTTCTACCACAGGAAATGATTACCGTAGATGTATTTGCCAAAATCAACAATATAACAAGCAACATCATGTATAATTTCTTAATTTCCAAAGAAAATATTTAGGAATACATTTTAATAATATGGTCATTATTATAGATTACATGTAACTGTTGTTCTACCCCGAAATGATAACCGTAGATGTATTTGCCAAAATCTACAGGAATTTTGGTTGCTCAGTGCTCTTCAACTCCATACTTTATTTGGCCTTTTAACTTTTTGGATTAGTCTCCTATAGATAAAACGCGCGCCTAGCGTACAAAATGTTAATCCTGGTATCTTTTATGAGTTTATATACATTATAACAAACACTCCCTATTTACTATGCCTTTCTATTGTTGACATTATTTATTTATATTATACTGACGGACTTTAAAAACGCAACACTAGATTATTCTTTTTTTATTCTCATTTTCAAATATTCAATTTTGGTAAAATAAATGTATAAACATAAATTTCATTCATTACTTTATTGTCTAAAAAAAGCTTGAAATTCGAAAGTTGAATCGATATTAAAGACAATACAACAACTGTTCTTCATCTGTGAAGTTTAAATGTAAATTAATTCAAACTAATTAAAGTTGTTTAAAATTAGAAAATACACTGAAAAAGACAATTTTTTTAAGTGTCTAAATATAAGATAATATTTGAGCGCAGAACAGTAATTCGGGTCCTCGTGGCGAACAAAAAAAAAGTTTACAGATACTCTTGTTGAGAGACATTTGTTTGGCTTAGCGGGATGTATAAATACAAAACCACGATTTTGTTTAGCTAAGCAGTTGAAGTTGAGCCCACTGTTAAGCCTGGTGCAACATTCCACTTTTGTTCGAATGCACCAAATACTATAATTGTTTTCATAACAGTGTGGACGAGACCATTTCTTGGCGCGTTCAGGTCACCAATCGACTGGGTCAGATTAGGTAAACGTTAGTCTGTAACGCCCACTTATCACGTCGTATCTATTATAGAAATTTAAACTGTGGGGTCGCCAAAGGTTCCCAACGTCTAAATCAAATAATTCAAAAAATTAGCACAGGAAAAAACCTTGTATTTTGATTGATATTTTAATACTTAAACATGTTTTACTGCCGTGTTTGTTATGTTTTGATAAACAATTTTTAATAGCTATACAAGTTACAATGTATGTGTTGGATATTATCTTTTTTGGACGTCAAAGCGATTTAACAATTGCGGTTGTCCAATTTTTTCAATAAGTATCTTTTAACTTTTATCTTGTCTAAAATTATATTTTAGAACGAATGCATGATCAACTTTAAATAGTTGTGCAATTACAAAACATAGACAAAATGCACGGACTCGATTATATGTATAAGAATTGCGTATGTATTTTAGTCTAGACACCATCTAATTAACCATCGAGGTGACCGCCGAAGACTGCCGACGGTCTTATAACCCGATATAAACATAAACATAGATATAAATAGATAGCGAACTCGTGCACTTGGATTTTTCTAGGTCTCTTTGATTTCATATTATAGGTTTACAAAATATGTTAGTAATCGTTTTTACCTGTATAAGAATGGGTTTTGTAGATCGAATCCGTCAACCAAATGGTTTACCCTTGTTTCACTTCCAATGTTGACATTCTTTTCTTTTTAATAGCTGAACACGCCTAGTTCATGCGTAATTTACCCCATCTCTAGCTAAGGGGTTCAATTGAAGTTCACATGAATACGGATTAAATGAGGTCGAATTAATCACTTGCAACTGAATATCCATTAGCGATGTTTATTTGCTTATTTTGGCAAAACTGAACCAAAATGGCTGGTTAAAGCGAATTATTATATCACTATTTCACTTTTATTAATGATTGAACGAAAAAAAAATCACATTTTATTTTTTCCTATATCTCGTAGGTAATGCCATTTAAAGGTAAATGATTCAGTAGTATTAACAACATAAGTATTACGGTTGTCCACACTGTTACGAGAATACCTCTATATGCTAGGGCTATGACAGGCAATCGGCTCTCTGCACTAGTTATTCATTGTTAATTGTTTCCCTCCTTAGAGAAAAATAACTCGTACAAATGATATTACAAGAAGATCGTTTCAAGAGATTTCCCAACATATCTTTTTTAGCCAGTATATATATTGCATAAATAGATATGGGTTACATACGTGAATTTTTCTCTAACAGAAAATCCGTTTGTAACTATACTTTTTTTTAACGTTTTGACAGGTTGGCTAAGTTGTTTTACATTGCAGAACTGTCGACTCGGCCTTTGTATCCTTCAATTTAACCACGAACATACGACACAAGTGAGGTGATTTTGGCTTGATAGTTTATGGATGCCAGAACCAGGTTCTGTCACTTATTAATCTATAAACTTACTAAATTATAAAAATGTTCACTCAATACGATTTTTTATTGTAAGATCAAAACATGACATTTCAGATGAATCAAATACATTGCCATTCTTCCAACACTTTCGCACGAATCTTCTTCCGTCTCTTAATCTCAATTTATTAAAGAAATCTAAAAATCAACAAGATGAACTGTTCTGCAAAGGAACACAAACTTTTATTTGAAATTAAGACTAAGTTTCTACACATGATGTTGAATAAAAAGACAAATCGACAAATTTTGAAATAATTTCGGTTCTAAACAAATCTTTCCAAATTTAAGATGACAGAGACATCAAAACATGGAGACAAAACAAAACAAAACAGAAGAGCATCTTATTCCATACCTTTTTTTATTTATTTTCAAATTTATTTTATTTTCGGTCCAATATGATTTATCTTTAGCCAATTTGGAATTCTGAAACTCTATCGCTGCAATCTACAAACAATACGCATGCATTCGTTTAATAACAATTATAAAACAAATATTTAGAGAAAATTTAGTAAAATTGGTTTAACTACTTATTGGCTATGCATGTGTCATTTATAGTTAAAACGATTCAATCTGTGAGGAGTCAGAATGTTTCAGGATAGGGTGGATGCGGTGGGTTTAAGCTAGAACATTAAAATGCAGCTTTGGTTTAAAGGCTGTCAGGGTTCATATTCGTGTTGTATTCAATTAATTATGATTTAATTCACGTTAAGTTATCTATCCGTCTACCTAATCAACTATCGATGGTGACGTCGCTGTTGACCATTTACTCACTATAAAGATTCGTGGTTACTTGTTATACCAGCCTGTGATTGTCCGTGACTTGTCTCTGGATATCTATATTTCATTGTTAAATTTGTGTTGTTGGAACGCTGTCTCATTGAACTGACGCAATATATATATAATACTTAATGAATAGGGTGCAGGATAAATAAGCAATCTATTTAAGTGTTGGTAGTGAAAAACATCGAAAAACGACGATTTATAAATTGATTTATATGCAAAGAATTTCTCTGGCAACAAAAGATATACGGATTGGGATACGAATAAAGATTCTTTAATTTTTTATTTTATGTAAATTCTATACAAATATTAAACTGTTTTAAGAATTTCATTAAATGATAGTTTAGCTAGTATTTATTTTCAGTTATATTTCAACGTGACAAACTTGCAAAATTTCAAAATAAATCTGTGACATAACACATTTACTCTTCCTTGGACTCAACTGCTTAAATGACTTCTTGTTACAACTTGTTTCATAATGATAGCGCCCACATTACTAATGTATCCATGATTTTCCATTTCTTTATGATGAGAGTCAAATCCAGAAAAAGAGATTTCGACTCGCGAAATTCATAAAGTGGTATTTTTATTTACTAGTACTTTGGATCGATACCTCTGCTGGTTAGTCATCGAGGGTATTATCCATTAGTCAACGCTTCGGCACTTACATAGATTTATCAAATTTTATGCTGATTAATTATAAAATAGACATATTCTACAAAGGAATTGCCCGTTTGATTAACCAAAATTTTGTTCGCAGTGAAAGAGGGATTACGGAAATACTGTGACACTGTTTACTCGCGTAGTGGCATTAAACATGTGGACTCTTAAGAACCCAAAAGAATTTCTGGAAAATTTGAAATCTCGGTCATTTTCTGGAATAAATTTTATCAAAACCATTCGATTTTTCCACTTTTTACACCACCATACCACATGGAAAATCAAAAACTCGTCTTAAAGAAATAATTTACAATGATTGTCAATTTGTCAATATAACGGAACTATAAGCAAATGACATACAAATGGGAGGTTTCGCTAGCTATTAATACAGGTTTTACCCACCATTTTCTTTTGAGAATGCCTGTACCAAGTTAGAAATATGATAGCTGTTTTCACTTGTTCCAATGATTGATAGTGTTTGACTTTGTCAGTTTGTCGGGTGTACGACAAACAGTAGAAAGGGCTTTTAAACACCTAAAAGGTCGTTTTCGCAGACTTAGAGATGTACCATTGCATGACCATGAAGAAATTTGCAAAGAAATCTATGCTTGTTGCGTCCTACACAACATGTGTGTTCTTAATGAAGATGATGTGGAAGAATATATAGATGATGATGAAGATGAGCCAAATCACTATCAAAATGTATATCGAAATGGACATACAGGTGTTCTTAGACATTTACGTCTTGTAAATGTACCGTAAATGAATAAATGTAAGTAAAGTTAAGATACTTCTTGTATCCATTTGTTGGGAATA